CTGCCGAAGCATCCAGGAAAGGGCACAACTGCAACAGGCATAAAATAGCTGTTGCTGCAGCTAAAATTCCTCCTTTTCAGTCTATCCCAGTGTAACTCCGTCACGCAGCGCCTGCTCAACCCGCTTGCCACTGAGAGCTTTTCCGCTGACGGATGTGGCCGGCCAGTTTGAGCACTAAGAGGATTTTACTTCTCACCGTGGAAAAAAAAAAAAAATAGTATGTCCTTGCAGGGAATCTTTTCTCTGGGAAAAAGCTACAGATGTCAGAAGAAAATAGAAAGAAGGGGAGAAAAAAAAAAAAAGGAGGGAAGAGAGGACACAAGCAAAGCTTTTCTCCCAATCTTCCACGGGGCTGGGCTGTATCCTGCAGGATTTCACACGGACAACTCCTGGTCCGTATTGCACACCCTGCCCAGAGACTTTCAGGCACCCGCCTGACACCAGCCGTTTGCTTCTCAGCACCCGATTTTCCACATGCGTGCCCAGGACCTGTCTTGTCTCTGCTTTGCCACCTCGGATCGGAGCTATCCGGCCCTCCCCTCGCTCCGGGGTAGGCAGCGCCCACCCTGTGGGCAGCATTGGTCGGATCCAGCCGGCAACACAGCATCCCGGAGCAAAGCGGTGGTGCCAGCACGCACGGTCCTGCCTCGCCTGCAGAAGTTGCTGGTTGCTGTTCCTTTTCTCTGCCCAGTAAAGCCACCACTGGGAGCACTGGTTTGGGCATAAGGGGGGGATGGGGACCCAGGGACAGACCCTGGCAGCAATCCCGTTGCATTGACAGCCTCTCGATACACACTTTCTGAGGGATTTCCTCTACCCCACCACTCTAGGTGTTCAACTTCAAGGGGTTTGACATCTCAGGGCGTTCGTAGGGTTTTCCACCCACGCTGCCACTCCAGTCACCCCGATGTGCCACCCACTAGGATACGAGCCATCGCTCCAAGTGGGCATCAACCTCCGAGTTGGGTGCCGACCCCAGAAAAGAGCTCAAAAGCGGGGACCAGCTCCTTAGGACCATCCTTGCAGCAGCCCGGTGCCATCCCTTCTCCTCCACCGGTGATGGCACAGTGTGACATGTCCCCAGCATCCCAGCTGCGAAGCTGCCCCCAAATTCAGGCAGTCAGGCACCTCAGGAGCCAGCGCTGCCTCCCAGCATGGTGGGAGGAGAGGGGCCAAGGAAGTGGTGGATGGGGACAGCAACTCCTTCTTTCTTCTTGCTGAAGAGCCAAAGGAGACCTTTGCAGCCACGGCAGGTCCCAGGTCCCCCCTTTCCGCTCCTTTATTCCCATCTGGCATCATTCCTGCCTGCGTGCATCGTGGTTACGCTTCTCCTGAAGCAAACGTCTGTTCCTACCAGATGCTTTCCCAATGCAGTCCTGGGGCAAAGCAAAGGCTCAGCCATGGACAGGAGCAAAGGTGCCTCCCCATCCCCACGTCTTGCCACCTCTCCCGACAAGACAGGGCACCAAACTACTTTTTTGTTTGAGGAAACAACATGCGTTTGATTTCTTTACTTTCTGGATCAAAAAAGAATCCCCTTTAAGAGACTCCTCCTCTCTACCAAGAGGTCATGAAAGAGTGGGCAACCGGCTGACCTCCCACCAGCATCAAAGCCCTGGTTCAGCATCGCCTTCCCGAGGCACAGGCCTGGCTTTTAAACTAGAACAGTGACTGCTGTCCCCACCTAATGCCACTCAGGGCAGAACAGGGACTGCAAAAATACTCCTTGAACTTTCCCAGCTGTAGTTAAAAGCAGGTTTCCAGCCCCAGGAAGCCCACAGCAACCCTTGATAGCTTCCAACCACCTCCCCAGCCTGGCAGTCTCCATGGCAGCCCAGTTTTCTTGCCAGCACCTTTGAGGGAGCTGCTACGGATACCTAAAAAAAAAATAATAATTAGCCCCTTGCCTCTGTGTGAAAGGCTCAGCCCTAATTAGACACCCCAAACCTGCAGCTCTGTACCTCCTGGTGAGCTCTGCCATCGCTCCCCCTCTCCAGGGACCACCTGCTTCTCCCCAAAAGCCGGGATGACTCGCTAGCATCGCAGCAGGGGGCTGCTCCCGGGGCTCCCTCATCAGCACGTCACCCTGCCCTCACCCTGATCTACCAAAATCTCTCGCCAGCTTGCCCGCAACCTCCCCTAAGCCGCCTGGCGGGTTTGATCGTAATTCCCCTGGGAGCAGATGCCTTCCTGCAAATGGGGGAGAAATGGGAATGAAAAAACACAAAGCGACGCGCGCACACAAAAATAACGAGGCCCCAGACACCAGGAAGATGTAGAAAATCCCTCCTCCTCCTCGGCAGACACCAAACCTCAGCCTCTCAGCAGAGGGGATGATAGTAACAGTGGGATTGTTGCTTCTCATCCAATATCGAATCTGCTCTCTGCCGAGCAAAGGAATTAATTTGATCACCATTCCAGGGTGGGGAGGACAGAAACACCCCCGACATACCCCCAAAGTGGTTCCCTTAAAGCCCGGAGCGCCCCAGTTCAGCATCGCATGTGTTGGAGGGACAGATTTGCATTCAGAGAGGAAATTGCCGCTCCCCGGAAGAGGGACCGCACAGCAGGGGATGGAGGAGCCGACCCAGAGACCTCAGCCATCCAGAGACGCCCAAGGTGCCGGGAGAGCGAGACCACCCAACCTCAAGTTCTTTTTCATAACCACGGGGAGGTTTTTCTTATGTTCCGCCCCCAGTTTGGGGATCTGCTGCCTGGGCAGAGCCGCTGGGTCTACCTCCACCCTGCCCCGGCTGCAGGTCCTCAGGGGGAAGTCCGAGTCCCTTCCCCTTTCCAGCAGAGCGCTGCTGACGGGGCACGTCACATCCTATGGGCAACGATAACTGGCGGTGACTCACCGTACCGGTCCCGGCAGGGTTCGCCAAGCGGTGGGCAACCAAGGTTGGCGAAGGTCAGGGCTCCCAGAGAGCAGCTCATCGGCTTCACTGAGCCAGCGCATCCCCCCAGCCGCTGCAGGGGTGCCATGGAGGGCGGCATCAGCAGCGTGGGAGCACACGGGCACGGAGGCAAGCAACAGGCAGCAGCCTCTCGGGGCGCAGGCAGCGCGACAGCAGGCCTGGCCTGCACCAAACCCCACCGGAGAGCTCTGCAGAGCGGGACCGGCACACCGAGAGTCCAGGTGGGTGCCGGCATCCATCCTGCTGATGTTTTTAAAAATTATCATTTTTTTTTTTATAGTAGAGGGAACATGCAGCTAGAGCCTGAACATCAGGGGCTCAGCTTAACCAGAAGCAATGAATCTGAACCCAAACGTTGTCAGCTACCAGCAGTCCCAGGTGAAGCAGGAGAAACATCTAAGCACCATCACCAACTGCTTCTCAACTACAGCTCCTCCAGGAGCATCTGAAGGGGAAGGATGCTCTTGACCCTACACTCAAGAAACAAGGATGCTTATGCCACAAAGGAACAGCAGCCACAAATTCAACACCCTGACGCAAAGGTGCTGGCCGTGAGGAGGGGGAGGCCAGCGTCCCCGCTCCCCTCCCGGGACATGCAGCGATGCTGGATTGGCACCCGACCGGTGCGGAGCAGGGCTTCAGGGGCAGCTGCTCTCACATCCCCGCTCGCATATTGATTCAGTTCCATGAATTATGCAGCACCTCTACTCCTGATTAATATTGTTAATTGAGTTGGCAGGTGGGGAACAGGAGGGCAATACCGTGAGGGCACACAGTCATGCACCAAACGCACTCATAAACGCATAAGCCATCGTCTCAGGGTGCTGGTCGGGTCCTGTAGGGAGCGAGTGGAGAAAGCGGGGAGCTCCCCCCCCCCTTAAAAAAAAAACACATGGGTCAGGCAGGAATTTATTCAGGCTCCCTGCAAGCCCCCCGGGAGGCCGAGGGGCCCGAGCATCACTGCGGGGAGGGGAGGGATGCAGCCGGGGCTGATGCGGGGCTGCAGCGGAACAGATCTGCCCGGATTAAGGTGCTGCTGCAGCAGAAGGCGCCTTTACGAGCGGTGTCACGGCGGTTTAACGAGCATCAGCCCCGACAAAGGATGCAGGAGAGCCCCTCACCGGCAGCATCCCCGGAGCCAGACCCCCTCCTTCACCTCCTACGAGCCTGGATCGCTGCTGCCCACCCCC